AAATTAAGTTTAAAAATTTATGTATAATATAAAGAAAAACCTATGAATTTATACAACTCTTGTTTAGTAAATAAAAACAGAAGCAATTTCTCGTATTCTATCGTTAAAACGACAGTAAGGGAAAATGAAGGAATTGTTATACGCTGTGCGAATCTCGTTGATGTTGGATTCGTTCGACGTTCATCTCGTTGCGTTTTTGTTCTGCATAAATGATGAGCCCGAGTATTTTAATGAAGACATTCCGCAGCTGCTTGCCGGCTCCTTGGCGCGCGCCGACAGGAGAGAGAGAGGAAGGACAACCTCCTTGACTTAGATTTTATTCCTCATCGCTTCAACGTCGTATCTCAATGACGTGAACAATGGGATTATAAAAGCTGCTTTCGCAAACTGTCGATTAAGTTCGATGTTCTCATAATAAAAAAGGGAATATAATAAATTAAATTAAATAATGTCGACAAAGTTATAAAATAAGTTAAAAATAAAAATTATTTTTAAAAGCTATAAATCCGCTTATTGCTATGACTACAAATTTAATTAATAGACAAAAATTTTGTCATATTTCTAATTTATTAATTGATTTACAATCTAAATATTTTTATTTTGAGATATTAATATATATGCACTGAGAAAAATAGTCTGATTAAATTAAATAGTAATTCTGATGAAAAATAGACGAATCAGAATTTTCTGTTGAAATCTACTAGAATTCTAGTTGAGATAACAGAACTCTGATTTTGATATAATTACTCAGATAAAGAGATGAGAATTCTAATAGATTTTACCAGAAATATTGTTTCAACCGGAATTCCGGTTATTTAAATAAATATTTCATAATAAATTTAACCAGAAAATTCTAATTCGTTTATTTTCAGCCAAAAGTTTTTTTCAGTATGTAAAATGCATTGTAAGATAACTCTTTTATGGTGTATAACATTAAGTAAAACTTTACGATTACTTCCGGACTTCCGTCTTTGGAAAAGACGTCCTGCCGATATTAATTGACCGAGACGACTGGGTCCCATTCCTTTGAATGCCCGAGAATTGCGACGCCGCGCTATAGAATGCTCGAATCATGCTTCCTAATTCTCCGATAATCCAGATGCTATACAAAGATCTACCACGATCGTCTCCGAACTATCCTCAAGGAGTCTCCCGCAGAGCAGGTAGCTTCTTAAGGGAGAGAGAGAGAGAGTGAGAGGAAGGGAGGAGGAGAAGCGGAGAGACTTCTGTCAGCATGACCACGATTATATCTGTGCGTTTATCTACGCCTATGTCAGCCACGAGATAGCCGAATGTTCTATGTACGAGAGAACATGAGGGCTCGTTTATGTAATGGAGGATTCCTACCACGGACACCGCGTTGGTGGTATAGGAGCATAAGGGGGGAAAGTTAAAGACGAGGAGAGATCCTACACATTTCCCTGATCATAAATCTACCTCGTGAAAGAACACGCTGATATCACGTGGGGTCTAGAGTGAAGATGAAGGTATATTGCGGCCGATGGTAATTTTGGGTAAACCAGGAATTTCGATAAATCGAAAGAGTTAAGATATGCTTCCGATACTTTTATTTCTTCATTTTCGTCTTCGCCACGTGTGAATTTTTATTATATTTGGTACATACATATACGAGTATGTATATCCGGTGGAAACATTAAGGAAAATTGCATAATAATACAAATAACTGATCATATATTGTATTAAAAGAAAAAGAAGGGATTATGAAGGTAATTAATATTTTGATGATTAATAGAACTAAAATTAATTTATGCAGCTGCCACAAAATTTGAACATTGACGTGTGACAAATGATCGAGGAATTCGAAAACTAAAATTAATATTCATATTCACGGTCGGAACATTTTTGCACTGGTGCAACACCAATTCGATCCCCCATATCATCCCTGCATCCCTGTAGGTTGCAAAAGAGGGAGCTCATGTATTTGGTATTTAATTACCGAGAACTGTGAAGGGTGACTCGCACAAGTGTTTGATTATTTATTACGCAAACATCTAATGTCTTTAATATTTCTATACCACAAATATTTAATATAAAAATTCAATATAACCCTTTAATGTTTTTTTTTTTCAGATGAAGATATTTTTTAACAAATATATATGTTTTTAACAAACATATATTTAAATATTTGTATATAAAAAGATGATAGAAAAAACTATTATTTTACCCTTGCTGTTTCAAAATATTCTGATTTCTAATATTAATTGCGCTAGGAAATTCGCAAATGCGATTTCATCGCGAGCATAATGGGAACGATGAATAAACTATCGACCAAACAAAAGCCAGTTTGCTAATTACAACAGCATAATATATTTTAGAGGCTGGCAATAAATTTCGTTCCGTTCTCCTTCCCTTTCTCCATCATTCTTCAGCCTTCTCTTCCGTATATATAAGGTGTTTCTATACTATTATTCATACTAAACTTTCTGAAGAATATAACATCGGTATTCGTTTATAGTGTTAAAGTTTGTATTACAAGCAGTTTAAATATGTAAAATAATCGTGTTTAATTGACTTTTTCAATTCAATTTTTATTAATAAAAAATTAATTTTCATTTCGTAAACAAAAAAGCCACCTTATATAACAGCAGCTTTCTTCTTATCTGAGACTCGAGACTAGGCCTTCGACTATATATATATACGAGAATTTATTATATACTGGATTTACTGGCGGCTACCGTTTATTGAAATCGGAACTCGATCGGAGATTATGGTGCTTATCTTTGTATATTATGAAATAAATTAAAAATTATTATTTTATTTAATTTAAACGGACTTTGGTTGTAATATATTTTAATTTAATCTATCATTATAGAAAATAGAATTCGTTTAGCTGAATAATATTTAAAAAAGATAATAACAATTATAATAGGAAGCTCAAGATTTCGCTGCTGTTCACATGAGTCTCACATGGTTTCCTGCCGATAGTTTTTCCGCGTCTGAGGCATATGCACGATTGCGTAAGAAAACACGAGGATCATACGAAATACGGTAGAAGAAACAGAACAGACTGATTTATGCTGCCGAGTGATGTCCCAACCAGAGTCGACGATGTTAAATTGCCGGATAAAACGCGACCCCTTACAGAATATTTATAACGTATAAGTTAACATCATTCTGCATTTATATATATAAATATACTAGTAAAAAAATCTTGAATTTTTGTTCACAAAATATTATCAACTGCATTTATGCATTTGAATTTTGATATAGTATTTAACAACTTCATAGCAGAAGAAAAATTGTGGAATTTTAAATTATTGATTTACTGCTTCTCTTATAATATCATAATCTTACCTGTAGCGTAGATATATAATAGAAATGGAAAAAGATGGAATAAAACCGTCTTGCGTCTTGAAAGATAAGTTCACTTTCTCATATCTTTTATTGAAAAAAAGATCTGAGAACACGGTTGACTGGCTCTTTGTAGCAAAAGTTGATGCTTGTTTTGACGCAATCTCATATCATTGAGTCAAGTAATGCACGATAAAAACTAGAGATAGTAATAATAACTTACTAAACGCCATTTATCTTGAAGCGGGCGCAGACGACGAACAACATATGCTTTACACGTGATAACACGCGCGTCGATCATCTGCGCGTTTCCTCCTCGGCCGAAGTGACGAAGTTAATTGCTCGTTTTCTCATCTCGTTAGCGTTACTTCCGCCTGCGTCGGGGAAACAAATGCACAAGCCCACGTGTTACGAGCTTAAATTAATGCCCTCGTGTTATTACGCTGCATGCAGAACTTCAAGATTTCTTGTAAAAGCTCTGACAAACAAAGTGTCTCTTCGCATTTTCTCCATTAATCAAAGAATCACTTCTTCGTAGATGACACAATGAAGAAAAAAATGATTTTCTAAAATTTTTGCAGTAAATTTAATGTCGTAATTTGCAACACTTTGCTTACCTGTATTATTCAGAAGAAGAGATAGAAACTTGTGGTTAAAGAGAGAGTAGATTAAATTTCCCGTTCTTATTATGCGCTCGATTAATTTTCTCATCTGAAGCACCACTAAATTTAATAACGGATAATTAACTCTTGTAAATGAATTGCAGAATTATAAAAGCCTATTTTCTGCAATAAAAGTTGTTTTTAAAAACCAATCAATTAAAGCTGAAATAAAAGCTACAAAGTAAAGTTAATAAAAAAGTGAATAAATTTATGGATTAAAAATATATCATCAATTATAAAATATATTACATTTTAATATAATATATATATTATAAAATATCTAATTAAAAAGTAACAAATACCTCGTATTACCGAATAATTCGTAAAGGTAATTACATAAAGCAAGGATATGAAACAATCACAGAGGTCCAAAAATTGTGAAAAATTGAAATAATCAGAGAATATTGATTACTTAATTAATGAAAGAAAAAATAAATATTGACGGTAAATAGAAAAAGCAAATGATGTGATATGCGAATTATTTATTTAACAATTAGACAGGCGATAACATGAGATGGATACGATGTGCTTAATGTAGGCAATACGATGGTGATTATATCGGACAGATACTAAACGGTGGAGTAGCAGGTGAAAAAGATTTGAGAGATGAAGAGATAAGATATGTGTAGGGGGTGCAGCCAGGAGTGCAAAGAATAATAGTTGACTGGTCGGATAATAACTATTTTAATTCGCTAACTCGGGGAGATTTCAGAATATTTGCGGCGCCTATTGTTTATGATACATTAATAATAATAATTAATTAATAATAATATATTTATATATATGGCAAGATCATTGGTCAATAAATACTTCACTTAAGTCGGCAGCTAAATTTGCCAAATAATTATTTTATAGTTCTGATTAGCAGTATTGGATATAATTAAAAAAAATTATTCTTTAATATTATTTAATATTATTCTTTAAATTTGTTTCTGGCAATTTTCGAATGTGCATAGATTATTATTTAATGTTATTATTTAAACGTTGTATTTTTAATGAAATATCACAAATTCACAGATTTTACTGTTTTAAAATGAGAAAAGAATTAAAGATACATATTAATTATTTGGGAAATTTAGGTGTGCCTTGACGGTCTAAATCGCACTACACTATTGTATCAGCTGAAGACGATTCTCAATCGCGTTTTTCACGGCCATTCTCCTCGACGTCAGACACAGCAGTCACTATAAAGGTAATAGTGCGCGCAAGTATTCGTCTAATATTATCTATTTTATGCTAATAGTAGAGCCTTAAAATATATAGGTAACACTATGTACATGACAACGACGGACATTTCAGTCGTCATTTTTGCTTAACAAAGTCCTCGTTCCTGTCACATTCACGTCTATACGATTCACGTCATCAGATCGCATTATTAAATTTTCTTATTACTTGAAACACAGTCCTTCAGTCGACTTTTGAATTTAAGGAAACCGCATTGCCTCCTGCCGATCTCCAACGCTCGATCCTAGAACCAGTAGAGGTCCTTGGAATCTTGAACTTGAGATTCGAGTCCTGCAACAGAGAACAAGAAAAAAATGTTATTGAATATATAATTCATTAAATCTATCAATATATATAATATTTGAAGTTTAAATTTTATTATACATACATGTTAAAGACTCTTTGCTATTTTTAATTCAATATTTGTTAGATTTCGAAGTAGTGTCTAAAAGTATAAATATTACCAAGTGAAACATTAATTTTACAATACAAAGGTTTCTACTGTGTCTAGCACTTTAGTCAAAAGTTTCTAAACGTTATACAAGTGATCAGCTGATCCAAACTGTGCCTTCCGATCTGAAAGACGTCTCTTGTCGTTGGTTGAAATTATTTATCGGTAGTAATAAAAGAAGAGACAACGTTATGACGGATGCGAGGGTGCAGAACTGGTGATGGCACCCGCTGAGCAACACGGGCAAACCGATGGATGAACGAACGAAGGGACAAATGGGGCCTGATGTCATGAGACCAACCAGTTAAGATCTCATATTCCCATGGACGAATTTATCTCTTATCTCGTTATATATTGAAAGAGTGAATCGACAGATCATCGTCGCCGATATAACATTCTTGTCTAGAAAGGCGTGATTTTTACCGTATAATCATTAAATAGTTATAAAGTAAGATTAATAGTACAAATATTATTTCGTATACAATATATTTTATGCAAAGCATGTTTGAAAAATTTAGCAAAATAAATGCATAGATAACGTTGAGGAGAGAAATTATTTGCCTGATTTTGTGGCATTATATTTTACAAAGTCACCGGAGAAATAATTTCTGTCCACAGCTTTATATATAGATATTGATTTGTAAAACTTTTCAAGCACTTGTATAAATTTTATAATATTAACTTTTCAAACACTTGTATAATATTATTTATCAAAAATAATACCTTTGCTTGAAATTAGACACAGATTCTCGCATAATTTAATAATTATTTTACATAATTAAATAATTATTTCGGAAGATTAAATAAAAAAGTGCATAATGTGAAAATATCGCTAAAATGGTTGAATTAAATTATTACCACGATCAAAAAATATCTAAAACCATAAATTTTATTTTTAAAATTCTCGTTTCAATATTTCTTCTTTAATATTTCTTGATCGGATTGAACGAGCCGCGCCTTCGATTATCGTGCAACAGATCGATGTTTCGACATCGTGAATTGCCAACACGGGAGATTGAGTTTGTATCGATACGCACGTGTCGGCACGTGGACGGATCTACCTGCTTCAAAGTCAGCAACGTGAGACCCATGATACGTCGCCATATTGGCGCACTCACGCACATACATACGCGGGTGCAAACACAAAGAGCTCGATCGTGTAAGTGATTGTCGGCATCGCGTGGAACGCAAAGTATTATTTGATCGAGAAAGTCACTGAACCGGAAAATGATCAAGAAAGGCATCGCGCGCTGGATAAAAAAGAAAACAGTCTCCAAACATTATTGCGACAGCTCGATCATGATGCAGAGATATACGAGAATTACACATTTTTGTAATACAATCTATTATTGGACGCATTTTTATAAATTATTTATATACATTATTAGAAATTATTAGAAATTGATTGTTGATCAGTGTATTCGATAGTATTTCTATTTTTAATTTAGTATGTAAAAAATATACATGGAAAGAATGAATTTCTTTGTATCTAAAAATTCAACTAGATACAAATCTATAACATAAATATCTAGTTTTAGATTCAGTAGAATCGTTCTTTTTTCCGTGTATAGGAAGAATATGTTTATTGAAAGGATATTGGAAATTTGCGTGATATTTTCAACAATAAATCTGGTAAATTAAAATTTCTTATTTCTCGAAATTAAACTAGGAAATACTTTATATGTATATGATTATATATCTACATAATATTCGCATTTGGTTACTGAAAATAATTAATACAGTCAAGAATGTAACGGTGTCTTACATATATATGTGATTTATACCACATAAATTAAACGCGATTATAACTTTATCTAACGAATGAAAGGTGAAAGTACAAGACTCGTATGCTTTTTCCACTTGAATTGTAGACGTGGCCTTGACTCCGTTAGTTTATTTAGAATGTTATTTTGCATGATTGAAATTTTAGCAAGCGTCACGTAGAAGAGAAATTCTTGGCAATTTCTGACAGAACGTTTCGTTTCGCCGGTTTCCCTGGAGTTTGTACGCCTCACTTCTTTGTCGGTAGGACTAAAGGGAATTCCTTCGCGCGGGATCTCGCAGTGCTCTTTGATATCGCGATATTGAATGTTGGAACATTCATAACAGGTGCGTCCGTCCGTAACTTTGTATTCGCTGATCTGTGTGCGTTGAGGTTTCAAACGGAAACATCCCGTTCTGCATTTCTTAAGAATATGATAAACGCGGCACGCGTTTTTTTTTTCACGAAACGCTATCTTTATTTGAAGTCAATACAAAAATCGTCAATTGAGCTAAATAGTATAAATTAATATTACTTTAGCATTTTTCTCGTTTTATTACACGTTTTTGAAATTCATATAATTTATTGACAAATAATAATAATAATTAGTACATCATCGGATCAAAAGGAATAATTATATTAACATAATGTTTCGAATAAACCAAGTTTCTTCTAAAATTATAGCTCTTCCTCTCACAATTATTTTACTAGTAGAAACTCTTATTGAGAAACGCGATAATCCAGAGTGGTCATCGTGGTAATCCTTGTGACGTCGTTAATCCTTTACAAGGAAATTCTGAACAGAAACGCCAGTATATAATCTTCATGGAAGGACATCCTAATTCAATACATCCTGCGACACCGCGAATACCGAGTAATGCGCCATAAGTGTCACCGGCTAGGACGATTTATGCGAGTGGCTTATATAACGCATATTCGCCGTAGCTACACGCGAAACCGATATAGTCCACAGGGTGCTGGGAAAATGGTGAGGCAAGGGACACAGCTTGGTAAATGGTGTGTCGAATAACCCGGACAATATTGCTCGATGTTTGCGATATTACTACAAAGTCACCCTCTGTGTTTGCGGGACGAGGGATACGGTACACATATACCTACATCTAATTCCCAGAGTAAAACGACCGAAATATCAATTTTAGTCATTATACTTAATCCTCATTGAGAATCTTTATCTCCGTCACTCTTCTTCTCTCATCAAATATGTATAACATCGCGCCTTTGATAATTTAATATTTAATAATTAATATTTTTACACATGGAAAGAATAATTTTGCTCAAGTATCTGAAAATATATTCTAGCAATTTATTGTTTTTTTATTTGAGCGTCCTACATAATTATTTTGATAGTTGAAAGAAAATTATTTTAAAATTTGTTATCTATATAAAATAATTTTTAAATATTTCAACAAAACAATTCTATCCGTGCATATATTATACTTTCGTTCATATAATTAATATACAATAATCTCTTTTCATCCTTATCAGAATAAGAATTTGAAATTTTGATTTGAAATTTCCAAATTAAAAGACTCTGAACGAATCTTTTGTCTTTACAAGTGGCTTTCCGTTTTCATACTGAGCTGAGGTCTAAGGGAGAAAGAAAGACAGTTCCGACACGTGCAATATTGCGTCCGACACACGTCGCTGATCCTGGAGATTTGAGAGGTTTAATTTGTAATTAATAGTCGCTCATCGGTGCATACGGGTTCAAGAGGGGCGCCCAGTCGACCAGGCTTACAACGAGTTCAAGTATATTGGATTCCAGACTATGAGGGGTCTGACCCTTCCCCCCATTGATAAGGGTCATCACAATGCTCGTCCCTTGCGCGCATCCCTCGCCGGTGAAGGGATGGCAAAGGGTCGAGTCCTCACTTTTTGCAGAGCGAGGGTGTTCGATTTAATTTAATCTCGATGCCCTTGTTTCTGAACGTCGAACGTGCTTTTCAAGCGGTCGCAGTCGGAAAGATGATCATCTTCGTTTTACATTCTGTGTAACAAGAGGCGCAAGAAGATCAAAGAACAAAAAAAAAAACATGACAAAGGAAACCGATAATGCAGGATATCCAGACTTGACAATCACAAATAAGAGTTCTACATTTCTTCATCTTAAAGCGCAAAACTTTAACATCTATTGTATGTATATAAGATAAAAGTTCTCCAATTTAGGAACATGTGTCTCATATCTTTACACATTTTTTTTTTACAGAAATTTATAAAAAAGATCATGCAAAAGTATCAAGAATTCCAAAATTTTATATTGAAAGAGATTAAAAAAAGATAAAAACAACTAAAACGACGAAGAGAGCACGATGAATCTCGCGTGTTCGCTAATGCGGCAACCTGTCTAGTTCGCTTCGTTCGTAGAGAAGCAAGCAGAATTCGAGAGATCGATATAACCAGCAACCGCTCGACCACTCCCTCCGTTCGCAAGCTGACCAATCGAGGATGACTGGCCATCCCCGGCTGGTCTGAGTCTCTCTTTCCCTTCTTCTCATGCAACGGTGAATTACGTGACGTCATTGTACGACGCCATTTTCGAGGCGCGTGCCAGAAAGCGTACGGGAGCACTGACGGATTACGTCGTGCGAGAATGTTCTATGAAAAATGTCCTAGTCCCGAAAGAAATTTGTATACACAGTATCATCTTGTACCCCAAATTGAACCTTGAAAGTTTCTTAGATTTCAAATTAATTGAATAAAAAACCGTAATAAAAGCCGTAAACGATCGTATAGGATTTCAAGATATAAGAAATTGATCAATTTTAATCGAGTATTCTCCTTATATTCGATTGTGATTGATTGGTTTCCTATGATTTAAGACTCCACGACCGTCTACGACTTTTATGTAGACGATCCTTTGGACTTTCTCATTCTAGATCCCTGAAGTTCTACCTTAATTGATGTTTGTTTATTTTATCTCTATGCCAATTTTTTTAGATAAATTCAAGATGCTTGAATATAATTTATTAAAATTACTTTAAATTGCCTGAATCTCTCTCCGAATCATACAAACTCTAATTTTGATAATCCATGATACTCTTTAAACTTGCATACCTTAGAATCTGGTATCTTAGTTGCTAAATGGTTTAAACCATAGCATCTTTAGATCCTGCCTCGGGTTCGCTGCATTCCGAACACAGTTCATTTATCAGAACGGTAAGAATGTTGAACTTGTTTATCTAAAACCAGACCACAGATTAAAATCGTACGCGTGTCTGTACTATGAATAAATATATATAATTCATTTCTTTATCGCGTGTTCTCAAGTTAATCAGTATCAATGCATGTTCAACATTACTCTTATTCAAACAGTGCTTAATCTTTTAGAGAAATTACGTTAATTTGTTTAAAATAAAACTCTAAGATTAGATTACGCATGTAGAGAAATAAATAATTGTCATATCAAATTTGTCGATTTATTCTCTGAAGATAAATTAATGTCTTCTTAGAAGTCTTATTAATTATTGTAAGACATTAATTTAGTTTCTGAAAATAAATTGACAGATTTTTTTAAATATATTCTATGAAGTAACATAAAATTGAGTAAAATTAACAATAAGTTATTTGAATGTAAAATGACACAATAATTAATTTTAGTAGGATTTTTAAAATAAAATTTAAATCGTTTCGAGATTAAAAACTAAACACTGGAAAAAATTTGGTTGCATTAATTGAAATTCTGGTTGAAAATGAATAAATCAGAATTTTTTCTAGTTGAATCTATTATGATTCTATTGTGAAAATTTAGATTGATATGATCAGAATCTTTCGGTTCGTTCATTTTCAACCAGAAATTTTTCTCAGTGAAGTAATTCGTTTCGCGATATCGACAACGTCTCTAATGACGAAGCTAACGTGACGGCTTCCCACGGGAAACAACAGCGGCAAGCCGCAAAATAAAAGCAGCGTGATGCATGTGTGCGAAGACATCGCCATGTTAAGACGCGGACGCGTCATCCGGTAATTGCGATTTATTTCTCTTAATCACTGCGTAAACGGCCAATTTATACGGTTCGAGTTAATTTCGTGCAATTATATAATTACTGAGCGCAGCGGCCATCGCGCAGGCAGCGAACCTAATCGGTTTGCCGAGCCGAGCGTCGTAATGGCGGCACTTAAATTTAAAGATACTTCAGAGACTTTGCGCGCGCCAATTCACCCCTGCTGGTTCAACCCAGCGCTCGTTTCACCCTCTATTACTCTTTCACGAGTTTCTTGATCAGAACACGAATTTCTGTTACCTAAGTTCTTCGCAAACAACCTCACAATTGTGAGTATATTTTAGTAAATTAATAATATGATTAGGTTTCTGAGTTTTTAACAAAACTTCATATAAATTTCATATATATTTATAATTAATTCTGAAAAACTAACAATTGAAATATATGAATAACTACTAGAAAAGGGCCATGGCAATAATTTTTTATTCTCTTGAATTACAAAATTCTTTCCCCCTTCTAAATTTGTTATATTTACGTGCATAAATCTTTTCCTTTATAGACACAAAACATTAAATTTATAGTATTTATTTTTATTTCACAATATCCCGCTGCTCGATTGAAAGGGAACTGTAAGAGGGTTGGAATTCATTTTGCGGCACGATGCTTGGTCTCGGTATAAAGCAAAGCGAGGGTACAAAATCGATACTAGACCTCTTCTCCCTTCTTGGGATGGATGTCACTGTTCCCGTGTGCTTGGCAGCCATGCCTTTCGTCTAAGAGAAACGGAATTCAGGCAGCCTAGAATCTTGGCAAGTTAGATGGGATTCGGACGATCTAAGAATTTGTACGAAAATGCATAGATAACGTTGCTCTTCCGGATTTCATTACAAGTAAAGCCGCGAGGAAAGCAAAATTAGATCAAGGAGTTGAAAAATTGAAAATTCGAAAAAAACCCTGCACCGCAAAAGAAACATGAAAACTATATAGAATGTAAAGTAATGAACGAAAAATATATTTAGATGCAATATGTAAATTCTAATTGGAAACGGAAAGTCGAAGAGAATAGAGATAGAAACAAGGTTGTAAAAATAAAAATAACGAGAATTCCAACACGTCGTTCGCAGAATAGCGTATCTCAGAAAATTCCAAAGACCATATGCGAAATTGTGCAATCGCTTCAAGGTGAGCGGAAGGCGTGTAAACTGCATCAGGGTGCAGACAGATGGGAGTGGTCTCTGTAATCACAATGGGCGTGGTTTTTCACGGCTTACTGCAGCTTCATCACATGGGGTACAAAACTGTGCACAGTCGAATTCTGTCACATACACTTTTACTGAGAAATAAATTATTCGATTCAATTTGATAAAATAAAAAATCATAACAAATAATTTCTCCCTTCTCTTCTTTCAAATATATTAGAAAATAGAAAATATAGAGGTTTTCAGTAACTATACTATATATATGTGTAGATATATTATATTTAACTGTATTCAATATATTTTAAATACATTATCTAATATTTCATTATTGTTATTCACATGATCTAATATCTTAATTTAATTTAAATTTATTTTCAGAGATTTTAAATAAACCTTATTTTATAGTGGCAAGTATAAATCTATGCTCTGCACGCACAGAACTTAAAATTTTTCGGCGGCTTTTCCTCGCAAGCCAAGTAAAAAATTACAAGATGAACAGGAATACCAATTTTCTATACCGCATAATTTAACGCTATTTTTCTGCATCGCATAATTCACCGACAGAGGAGCGGCGCGTTCAAGGAACGAGGGTACGTACGACAGGATCCTGCCGGCGCGGCGGGAGCGAGATGTTTTGCGAGATGCATCCGCGGCTTTTTGTCCTGCGGACGATTTTGGTGGGTGAACGCCGAGCCGAAGGAGGACACCGTATGGATCGCGGCTCCCATTAAGCCCTTATTAATTGCGAGCATCTGAGGGACCGACCGATCTTTCTTGCGCTACCTGCGCGCCATTCCGAGCAAAGCTCCGTCCTGCTGTCGCTCGACACAGTCAGAACATACGGTAGGATCTTTGATACGTCGTCGATATGCCGACAATCCGTACGCAAGTATATCAGATGAAGCAATGGGGATCGCGGCGATGTAATAAATCAGAAACAAATATTAGGAATTCGATAAATGAAGCTCTTATTCTACTCTATAATTCTTAACAACAGTAGTGTTGCACATGTTTTATAAGTATGTGCTTATACATGATGAAAAAGCCATGCAATGGCAATGTAACAATGCAGTCAATGTCATTAAGAGTTACAGAATAGGAGAGCGTGAGAGTACTTAATTAAAAAACGTCTTTCTTTTGACTTATTTTATTAATTATTTTATGACTCTTAACTGTAGGTCTTAAATATGTATTTATGAGTTGGGTTGTAAATGTTATTTAAGAGAGAAACTTTGACGATTATTTCGCTGAGAAATAAGAAAAGAGTAGAGACAACGTATATATCGTTTCACATTTGATTCGATCACTCGACAAAGATCCTCCTTTTTCTTCCTCGTTAAAATTAATATATTAAAAAGACTATTTATTCTTATAAAACTAAAAGAAAACGCGATAATTTCGCGACCAGTTTCACCAACAACGAACGCGACCACTGCGTTTATTAAAAAATGACAATTAATATTTTTCCTACGCGAATCTCTCAGAAGTGAATATCGTGAATATTTCACATATTCTGCGTGCGTTCTCTTAAAACGGAGTTTACCTCAATGTCCATTCGCCGTTGGTGAAACCAAACATGGAAAAGTCTACTTACTTACCGGAGAGGGGTGCGTAGTGGCCGTGAGGATAGGGCGGCGCCGAAGAAGCGTCGACGAGGGATTGCGACGGCGTCGCCGACGTCCACTCCTTGTAGGTCGCGGCGTGTGCGTGATGCGCCGCGTGGTGAGACGTATGGTGGCCGAGGCCGCGTGCACCACCCAGAAGAAGGCCACTGTAGCTCGCCGCTGCTGCCATATTGTGGTGGTGGTATTCGTGCACGGCCCTGGAAAAAGACAAGAAAGCACGGGAAAATTCACGACGTGAAAGGCGAATTGTCAAGAGAATATAATCTCTGTGGTGTGTGAAGAAAATAAACGTGCTTTTCAGGTCAAATATGAATCAAATTAACTACTGACATGTAGACGAGCGTTTTGGCGTACAGAGATACGCACGGCGAGATATATTGTGCCAAACTAGCGTATAAAAATAGCATCACGGTTCTCAGCACGTCGATACAATCGCTTTGATTATAGTGTGTCACGATCGATGAGAATCACAAAATAATACATGTCATCAGTATACCCGATGCCAATCTCAAAGGGGTAAGATAAAAGGAGAAAGCAAAACAGAAAGGAGCGGAAGAGAGATAGCGACATGCGTTTAAAAGCGAAAACGAAGAGCACATGCAGGTATGTGGAAAATACTAAAAACCGTCGGGAGCAGGTAACGCCGAGATCTTTAGCACTGATCTGACTACATCTATAAATTACGAATCTGTCACCGTTGTGCCGTAGAAAGAGGATGGAAGATATCAACGACTCTTTTTTCTCTTTTGTTTTAATTTTTCTTTACTTCACTCCCCTATATGTAACGTATGATTCTTTGGTTATACCTTTTTCTACACTTCCTTTTATTTTAACGACAGCTGTCGCTCCAAAATCAGTTCGTTGATTCGTTCAGTACTGAATTTCAATATCATGTACTCATGAGTAATATTACGTTTTGAGAATGTAGAACAGAAATACGAATCAACGCGCAGCTATACGAAAGAAAGATAAGAAAAATAATGAGTTGTCGAATAGTTAATTCAGCATGGCTAAAGATCGTGTTTAAAAAAATTCTCGTTTCACTAATTAACGAGCTACGTAGCATTTAATGGCGCGCTCAGGAAAAATTCCCAGCATGTGGTCTCGGTTTTACGTCTCCACGGTGTGATGAGATGCTGGAGTTACACGCAATTACTCGACGCGCACGATCAGGAATCAATGGGTCGTGGACATGGCGCCGATATTCCATCGCACAACTTTGTAAAGAATGTCTATTAAAGAACGGGGAAAAAAGGGAAACTATGCCATTTATGTAAAATAGAAAAAAAATAGATAGAGAGAGAGAGAGAGAGGGAGGGGAGGGGAGGGGGAACAGGAGAGATAGAAAAATAGACAACAACGATCGGTAGCACTGACCTGTGATGGTACTGCGGGTAATGCGGATGCCACGGATCCGTCGGGTACTCGTAGACATCACTGGGATGCTGACTATTCCAAAAGGAAGGGGGAAAGTTCCTCATAGACATGGGGGAGATATTTTCTGCAATAAAAAAGAAAACAATTTTACAATGACGGCGCTTTTAATGACTTGCGCGAGAAAACATGCGCCTACGAGCAATTTTTAGAGAGAGAGAGAGAGAGAGAGAGAAAGAGAAAAACAATGTTTTTAATTTTTCTATATAAAATTCTTATTTTGTCTCCAGAAAATATCAGGGAAGAGCGATCGAGAGGTCCTACCGGTTGTTTACGTAACCCTTCTCGAGCGCGTGCGACTCGGCGCCTCTCCGTCGGAATCTGATCGGAGAACATTCTATTCTCTGCTGCTAAATATCGTGCTATTCTTATTTTTCCCCTTTAGAAGCGCGAGTGTCGTACATTGTCGAAAAAAAAAAAAAGAAAAAAGAAAAGAGAACGATTTTCAGGGCAAGCACAAGCAGTGCTATAAATACTGGTGCCAAAGCGATGATCCTCAAGTGATGAATACTACCGATAACTCGTTGTTTCTTTCTCTGCGGGAAGATATTCTCTCCTCCGGAAAACGGGTTCCAAGCGGTCGCGCGCTTCCACCAGAAACCACTCGTCCTAACTAGCGGGAATAAATAACGTCGCTGGCCGACTAAATCATCGTAGTTTGTAACAGCAGAGTAAATTAGCAGCCGGTATGCCTCTCCTAGCAGATAATCGAAGCGACTTAGAAGATGAAATCGCGTACGTGCGCGCGAGAGGGGAGGGAATTAGAGGGCATAAATCGTGGACCGGCGCGGTCGACCTCGCGTTGGTCCACAACCTTCGGTCGCGCGTTCCGATTGGTCGGGAATGGATTAAAAAAAAAAGAAAGAAAAAAAGAAGAGAGGAATCCAACGTGAGCGAGGACTGCGCGAGAGGATTGCAGGAGGATACACGACAAGCTTCTGGCTTCGAAGTGGTCGCTTGTAAAACAACCAAGCGGTACCCTTCTGTCTTCCGCCGATTTGGTCCCGTGGGATTCTGCCTGCCCGTTTAGCGAAATCTTTCGAAATCGTGGGAACGGATACATTTTAATAAAGAATCAATCAAAAGAACCGATTACACTATTATTATCACATTTACATTAATTAATTGCATAAAGCGATGACGCTAAGATGTATTTAATTAATAAAGTGTCACATAATATATGATCATGCTAATGTATGATAATAAATTATGATACATAAGACGTATGATAATAATGTTATTTAAGTATTAAAATATAGAGCAATATATTACATTGACTTATTGCGTGCAATAACAATTTTTGATAAGTTATTTATTATTAAATTACCTTTAATAAAATCACTAATTGATATCCATAGAATAATTTTTTATTAAAGAAATTTTTCGACAAGATGACGTGATTGCATTTTTATAGATCACACTTACCATGGATAAATAGATTATTTTTATTATATAGGTTTTAACGAGAGATCGAACATTTTACCACACAGTTGCAGTGGCCTAACCGGTAAATCAACATTGATATACCGGGTCTTACATAAACAGGCGAGTCATAATGCATCAAGTTACGATCCTCGATAGCGTGGTAATAACACGTACGATTAATTAATCGCGCAAGTCTGAAGTATCTATAAATGAAGTATATATAAATTAAATTAATTTCTGCTTGTCGGCCGATGAATTTCCGAATCAAAACTATACATCTCAATTAATAGATATATAACCTTTTTTCTTAATAAAACAACATTAAAAAAATATTAAAACAAGGAAATTGTATAAACAAAAATGCCACACTATTAAACATTCTATCGAGTTTTTTTCAGAATTAATAAAAAGATTTTATTTTTTATAAACTATAAAAGTTAAGTTGAAAAATTACTTGCTATTAGTTTCTTTTTAACACATGTGTACAATATCTTATATATATGCTTCACTTTTACAAAGTATAATTAAAGAGATAATTAAAAAGTATTGTATTGTAAGTACAGCCGCATGTATTGTCATTACAAATATGATCTTTCAATCCTGGAGATAGACAGGGTATGGTTAAGGACATCGTGGGACGGCGTTTGTGGCCTCTCTCTAGTATCTGCTTCAGTCTCGGTTCGCCGACTGTCCTTTATTTATTAACGCAATTAAAGAAACAGAGTGTCGACCGTCTGCAGCCGGCTTTATTCTTTGCCGATGCCGCGACCGAAGAGAGAAAGGGTATCGCTCTACGTGGAGGAGAATGGAGAGGGGTGAGGTGAGGAGCGGGTAGAAAAGGGTTGTCGAAGCCTGGTTAGCCAATAAGTACCCGCGTGTTCCTCAGAACTTCAGAAAACGCCGACATTTTAATCGACGACTTGCGACTCTCGATACCGTTTTCGCAATCGCGTCCACCCTTGGTTCTTAGACAGTAAAATATTTTCAGGATAATACATAGTACATACATACATATAATTGAAATATTGATTTTTAATTGTCACTCTGTTAAAATAATTATAATTGCACATTATTTGATAAAATTTAATGTCTTCGTATAAAAATAATCCTTAAAGTACTTTTAAAGCATTTTATTAGCACATTTTTATATACTGAATTTATTTAATTGGGTAAGTATATAAGATGTATAACTTCTTTCAATTTGTATACCTACACAATCCTAAAAATAACTCTATCCTTTTATGCAAAACAATTTCTGTTTGTTTGTGAAACCGGAACCCACCGTATTTTTCCAAGCCAATTACTCGAATTCCTTTTTAATTCCGCGAGTAACCCTTTTCTCCTTCTATCTCTTTCCCTCCATTGAGCCATATCCCTTCCTCTCTTTCCTTCTTTGTTTTCACAGCGTGCGCGTTTTAGGCTCAAAGTCGCGTTCGGTCCTTGTACGTACGTTACCCAGCATTCCGCGGCTAAAACTGTCTCCCGCGATGTCGCCTCTCCTCCATGCTCCCCGCCTTCCTTTCCCTCACAATGTCTTTCCTCAGCGCTCCTCCACCGTCCCTCTTTCCCCCCAGAGAGCAGAAGCTCTTAATTTACCATTCGTACGAGCGCGGTTGCGCGGGAAGTTTGCGCGCAAGCAGAAGAAGAGAGGGACCGAGGAACGAGGGCGAGAGGGAAGTGGTGAGGCGTAACAATTAGGTCGTGTTGTCTTGAATTCTAAACAGGCTACTGAACTGATCCTCGGCGCACTGTGGTCGGGATAAATGCGGCCTTAAACGACACCGATATAGACGAGCTTGCCGATCGCTTGCCAAACCCGCTCGCGTGCTGACAATCTTCCCTTCGTCCTCCCCTGCGGTCGAGGTGGGTTCCTTCTGCTCTTTTCTCCTCGCTGGCCTGCCCTGCCCTGCTAGCGATTTAAGTCGGCGCGAGTGCGAACGAGCTACAATTGTCACGAGGCTTGTTAGCCTTGTCGCCGCCTAATGGCGTACTTTATTACTCGCTTCGAAAACGTTTCGGCGTCGAAATGTTTCAACTTCATTGAGATTGAAAAATGGATGGACCACAAAATTCGAACATCACGATCAATACTATGAATAAAGTGGATTCCAATCCATTTACAGGATTTAAAACAATTATATTAAAAATTCTTAAATAATTGTACATACACTCTAAAAATATTTTCGGCGTGGATTAACACGTGTGTTGCCGTTGATATAGATTTAACATCCTTGTTTAAATGATGTTAACATCGACAGTGTTCACGCAATGTTGGAATTTATATACCAACACCAACCAATATAGTAAGAATTATATCTAACACACACCCATGAGATGTGTGTTCAATCCATACCACTCATGTTTCTTAAAATGTTTGTATTTTTTAAATAAGATTTTTTTTTTTTTTTCAAATAAATAAAGATAGATCATATTTAACAGCTTACCCTTTAATTTATCATGTGCGAGGGCCCTCTGAAAGTGTTCCTCCACTTCTGACGCCGCGTCGCCTCGATAATGCGTAAACACGACGCAATTCGCGTTAACGTACTGCGCTCTGCTCTCGCCATCGTCGGAGTCCTCGGTCGTACCGGCACCCACGCCTGCGAGCCGGTGTATTAATACGCAGGTGTTCACGTGACGATACGCACGTTGCTGTAAACCGAGACAATTAATCGTCTCACCGTCTGTCGATCTCTCGTCGTCCAACGTTCGCGAGGGTTGCGAGGTGGTGGTTGCGAGGGGTGGTCGCGGTTGCGGCGTTGGCCTTGGGGACGCAGGACTCGGCGCGGACCCTACAGAACCTGCACTGCTCGGCTGACCTTGAGGGACGCTTCCGCCGGCGCCGCAAAGCTCGATACCGGCTGCTTCCAGAGACCTTTGATGCACGTTCAGCTGTAATAACAAGCAATTAGTCTCGTATGTAATATCGTCGATTCTTAGAATCTTATTCTTTAGAGGTTTCAAACGTCAATTTTTATAAATCTAAGAACATTTCTGTGTGGATCACGTGTATATGATATATCCAAAAAGATTATGTATTTAATAAAGATTCTACTGTGACTTTAGGCGACGTGACTTAACGAATGATAAAGCCTTAGATTGTAATCAATCTCAGTTTTAAAATTACACAGAAAAAATTGTTCTCTTATTAAATTTGCACGCAGCGGTTGACGACAAGATTGAAATAAAATAAGTGACTAATTAAAGTGAATAAACCCTTATGAAAGGTTTTTAATTGGGAAGAATCGTAACTGCTTTTATGCAAACGTTGCACACGATCGTGCTGTTTATCGATTAACACGTTAACGATACGGTTAACCGGTTATTCCTTTAGCACTTCGCGAATCGTAATGATTATCGGTTAACCAGTTTAATTGGTCGGTTGATGTACAGTTTGCATGGGGCACGATTATTATAATGAATCACGAGAGTCATGATGATAAATCAAACAAAACATTAAGAGTAAAACCGAAGGAAAACGCTGGAAAATCTCCTTAAATTCTAGATCTTGAATTCCAAAAAATTAAAGACTGTTGTACAATAATTAGAAATTTTCAATCGTTTCAAATGCTTCTTCACAATTTTAATTCTAACTTTCGATTTTTTCTCAATTATAAATACTTCAATAGAAAAAAAATATTTTGTTTTGTGAACCAAAATTTTGTTGTAACAAGAAAAAATTTGATTTAAAATGTGCTAAACAAAACTTTTTCATTAAAATGTAATGAATAAAACTGTAATTTTATGCAATTAAATTGTTTACTCTTGGAGCAAATAAATATTTTCGTTAATTACAAAGCAGAAAAATATATTTAATAAAAACAACTAAATTTTTTCTATATAAACCAAATATTTGGTTGTTGATAAAAAATAAATAGTTTTGTTGGCAACACTAAATTGTTTTCTTCAAATCAAATTTTATATGATAAAAGTACATATACCTATAGAGTGATATGATAACGGAATATTCTGTATAAAAGTACGTAATGTTTACTCGTACAGTCGTTATTCTAGATTACGACTTCTCACAATCATCTTTTATCTTCTAAAATGTTAACACCCTTGTCGTCGATCGACGAAATTCTCGAGCGGCAAATCGTGTGAGCCAAGGAGAAGCGTGGCCGACGATCGCATTGCTCGCGTGGCGCAGTGATCGCGATGATGGGACGACAAGAGAAATACGAGCGCGTAAATACCGGCGCATTTTAACGGCGATAGCCGGGATTTTCCGCGTGACATCGGGGCCATGCGTTTTCTCGCGCGCTATAAAGAGAATGACGACGACGGAAACGGCAACGAACGGCCCATTGACTTCCACGTTGTCCGCGCGCCAGAATTCGACACCATAGTGGTCCATTAATCCAGTCCTTTCAGTCGTAACGCGATCTTTTGCAGCAATCATTCGTGATCATTATTAGATAATATGTAGGATATAAAAATCATTCGATTTCTCAGATAAGATCTTTTTTTTAGTAAAAATAAAAATTTTAATTGTAAAAACATTTATTACCGAAAATTTAATAACTACACGGAATAGATAAGTTTTAAAATATCTAATTTAGTTAGATACGGATCTAAAAATAATTTTTAGAAAATAATTGTGGACCGTTAAAATAATTATGTAGAATCTCAAACATGATTGTAAAAAAATTTTAACATTCTGGTATTCCTGATTAGTTAGAACATATGTAATTGTTTGGAGATCCAACAAAAAATTACATTCAAATCTATATTCATTAAAGTTTTAGATAGATATATTACACTTCAGAGCAAAATTGTCTTTTCCTACAACGAACACTTACTTATAAGATACATGTATATTATTAGAGTTGTCTAACAGTGATTTCATTAAGATATGTTTCTTAGTTAGTTTCTTGATTTTACGGGAGTAAAAATGCATGTCGATGTCCAAGTAAATCACTACGAATAGTACTTTCCCTGCCTACCGGTCGATGGAGAACGAGCGTTTCGTTCTCTACCCCGCCTAACCAATTACGTGCACGCATCAGCGGTGCACGGAAATAAGCTGACGGTGATGTATGCATCGGTCGACGGAAGGATGCGCGGGTATGAGGGCAGAGGAGACACACGATGAAGAGGAGGAAAAAGACGAACGACTACGCCCGCGAGAGATGCTATCGTTATCTACGCCAATAAACTCGAGCCCGACCGTTTCATGGTGCAGTACATCACCGCCATGATGCACAAAGTGCTGATGACGAGCGATGACCCGGAGGTAGGCGTCGTCGAATGAAGGTATATCCGCTTGTCATCATGGCTTTGCAACTGTTGATTGGTAGGCGGTTCGTGATGAAAGCTGGAGGAGCTTTAAGCTCGGCGCAAACACACACACACACAACACACCTACGTACTATCTTGTAGCGACTTGTACGATTTGCTTTGCGAGATTACGAAGTAGCAGCTTGGAAACTATGCGCTTGTAATAATTATTAAAATAGCACACACAAATAGCTCCGTGTAAATTGATAATACAGTGCGTGAATAAATTGAAGAGTTCCAAACAAGTAATTAGGATTTACCCCGCAAGAATTGAGCCACTGAAAATTCTAAAACTATAATAGTTTTTCAAATTGACGATCAAATTTAATTTGTAAGATCATTATTATTGTATGTTTAATTGTGTTCCAAGTGTCGGAAAATCATACGAGTACATGACTGGAGTAAATGTATTTAAATAAATTTCATATAGAATTATTATTTTAACGCATCTAACTTTGTCCAGCACCACTTGTTATTTAGTTGATCTAAAGTCAATAGTTTCTATTTTAACATTCATTAGAACTTCACTTGTGTGTGTGATTCTAAAGAAATATATTTCGGCAAAAAATAAAAAAGAAAAAAGTCGTGAAGAGCATAAGAATATCAACGAAGAAGACAAGTGTAGAAAAACTGGAAGATCGTTATCGTTTGACAATTTATCAGAAGACTGTAACTATTTTTTATTTAACGCCATCGATGCCCGTTCGATTGCGCCGTGCGAAATTCGCCGCTCGCGGGGTCGAGAGCGCGTATAGGAGATTAAATCAAGGAGCAAGCGGGTCTTCCATAGATTACCACGGTGGAACATCCAGCGCCGGTTGGCCGCACGACAATGTGGTAATTAATTGAAGCAAGACCGTCCCCGACAGCCTCTCTTCCTCTTTTGCTTTTTCTCCCTTCGCTTCACAGCCAACGAGCAGCTCTAGCCAAGAGAGCTGCTCTCGCGGCCTTTCAAAGCATTCCAAAGCGCGAGTCCGCCCGTTCCTCTCCACGGCCATCGCTCGCTTCTTCTTCTTCTTGCCTCCTCCCGCCTGTCCACCCGCCCGCTCGTCCGTCTCGCCCTTCCTGCCGGCGCGGTGTCGAGTCATTTCACGAAAGACCCGAGGCCGCATCTTTATTTCTTTCCCTTTTGTCTTATAGATCTCTACAAGGACTATAATATATCGTATGGATCTTGGCTACCACAGATTGTAACTTTTGATCCTCATAGGCTTATTGGTCTTCTATTGGAGAATCTCTAAATTTAATCAAATTCATTGAAATCAATTTCATAATGCCGATAATGCGACAGTGCAAAGAAGTTTCTTTGGGAAAAATATCAATTTTACATCGTTGGCTTACTGTTACAGTAAACCCTTCAATTATAATAAAATATGTCACACGAATTTTCCTCCATTATAAACAAAATTCATCAAAATAAAAGGAGAAGAAAAGAAGAAGGAGTTGATTTACAATAGGTATTCAAATCTAAAACTTCTTTATCGTTGAGATCTTATAACATTTGATTCCGTTACATTTTAATGATCTTAATCATCAATTTATTAGTTTCCAAGTATGACAGGTGCTAAGCTAGATATAAGTTCTTTATGTTCTTAAATCCGACGTCACATTGGCGCAAACTGACACTATTTATCGCCTCGTGTGAGCAGGCAGCAGCATGCCAAAACGGATAACGAGCGGAGTAACCCTTTAGTCAAACTTGGACCGCGCGTACGCGTTGCATTTATATCGCGAGCCGGCGATATTATTCACGGTGTATCTTTTCGCGCGTTTGCGATGGAGCGCATTAAGCAGATACCGACGCGCGATTCTTTCTTGCGGCGGAATACCTTTATCAGCGGGTGGCGCACCGTTTACTCATTTGTGGACGTCTGGTAGCACTTAACTGTTATTATGAAGCAGAGTCCAGTGGGAGATAAAGCGGGTAGTACACGTTAAAGCGAACGATTAGCTGGAACTGCGAAGCAGGAATAGTGAGCTGACGAACGAGGAAAGGAAGAAAAGTAGAAGAAGAAGAAGGGACGTAGAAAACTCCAGTGGAGTCTGCGGGAAACGATATTGAAAATCTGAAACAATTCTTATTTAATGAACACGACTAATAACGAATTCGGTCTTGCAACGTGAAATTAGCAAAGTTAATGTAAAAGTATAATATAAATATTTTAAACAATTAAATAATCAGATAAAGATATTTAATAAAATACTATGTATTATTTTATTGTCAAGTTAATTATATTATGAAATTGACTGCCTGCATTTAAAAAATTTAACTCCAATCGGTAATCGTGAATCTGCTGGACCCAAATATTTTTTCTTCGAATTTTTTAATCTTTAAAATATTCAAATAAAAAAACCATTCAATATTACGTTAACTTTAAGCAAAGATACATTAATTTAAAGTACACTAGATTTGTAAATATTAGTGAAGGAAATTTCGGAGTGAATAGAGTTAAAGTACCGTTCAAGATTAAAGTATTAAAAACATACAAGTCAAGAAATTAAATACCCAAGGAATTTATATATCGTGCGCAGAATGTACATTGAAAATAGAATCGAAAGGAACAAATTGCTGGTAACCGAAGCGATAACGTGAAGACTTTTTCTCGTTACTT